CATTGTCGTGGGGGTTTCAGGGCTCATGAGATTTTGTCTTCTGCGTCATTGTTGGCGGCAACTCATTTGCATCCTGAGGCGGTCCGAGCTTACAAGCCCCGTGACTAATTAGACCATCAAACTGTCGCCGCGCCACGCCAGTCGAGTCTCCGAAGCGCCGTAGGCCAAGTTTGAGGGTTCTCCGTCCCAGCGCTGTTTACAAGGGTGACAGCTTGGGGTTGGGGTGAACCGACGCGATGAGCCCCCAGCGGCGATTATGGTACGTCTTCGCTTCATTTCGGATTTTAACTTTCGTCGATGTAACAACGATGGCTACTAGGTCATTAGGACTGACTTGTGTGGTTAGGAAAATCCAATTTTGGAGAAAGTTTGGAAAATTCGAACTCATGAGGCTGTCATTACAATTTATCTAATTAGATTTCGGATTTACACAGGATTGCTTCTGATGAATTTGGTAAGCAATGTCCTGCCAATGATTTTTTGTTGGACATACGGAATATAATCTAATAACGCAAGCATACTCCATGCCCAAAAGATATAGTTCATCTCTCTTGCCCTATATGGTTTCGTTACTATTTTCATCGCGTTGGCAGCTGCGTATGGTTTACAGATATTTTCACTTCGGTTACTCTCTATGTATACTCTCTGTGTTGCTTTACGTAATTTCCGTCGTGGTGCTGTAAAATAGAATAAAATCTATTATGACCTAAAACCATACCTCATAAATATCATCACCTTAATCCTTAATTTGTCATTTAAGGAATCTCTCATTGCGTCCGGTACAATTTTCCTCATATTGGTCCTGGAGTTGGAATTATATAAATGCAATTTGCGAACAAAAATAGAGTTATTGAACGTTACCGAGGGGCTAGTGTGTTTCAAAAACTGTAAATTTAGCGCTTTGAAATTCAAGAACGGAGGCGAATTTGCCGGATTTTGTAAATATAATCTCAAGAGCAAATTAATTACCCCTTCAGGACACTGGAAATTGGTAAAGGTGAAGTTATTTGTGATTAATCCAAAGCCCGGGATAAAAAAGTTAAAAACTTTCTTTTACTCCGTAACGAAATGACCCCAGAGCTCAAAAGTAAAACGATAGGCTTCCTCCGGAGTTCTGAGCTCCGTAATTTCGAGGAGCTTCCTGCATATTTTGAGCGCTTTTTACGGACGGGATTTCGGCGCAAAGCACTCTTCGAGGACTTTCCAAACTACTTAGTCCTCACCACCTCTGCTCTCCGGTTGGGAACCCGAAAAAGGAGCCAAGCGAAATAAAAGCGCCCGGGGTGGACGGGTAAGATGAAGCCGTTAAATAACGAAAGACGGGTAAAGCTAATGAGTTCTGCGACCATTGTTGCCGCTCCGGAGAGGAAAATCCTCATTTTCCATGAACTTGTCCCTGATGTGGTGGTGAAGTTGGCGACCCCACCGGAGACTGCAAATCGATGAGATGGCGAGTTGCGAATAAAACCAAGCTCCGGGCGGACGAGGTGAGGTGCGAGCACCCTGGATCCTGGATGGGACTTGGTGACTTGAAAATTGGTTTTATCGGAAGAAACCGGGGTAGTTACAGATAAGCAAATATTCGCTGCCGAGTAAATTAGGAGGGCTGCGGGCGGGTGCCCAACGCGACGCTCAGTTGGACCGAGTCTCAACTTCGTGGCATCCACATCGTCGCCAGAGAGAGCAAAAAATTAACTAAATTCGGGATAATGTCCCGTTGGAAAAATCAAGTAGATAGGTCAAACGAGCTCAACGAATGAAATTGTTAAAAAAACGTTTAACAAAAATTGAATTTGATTAAACGAGTTTTTTTTTGCTTTGTACCTGAATCCTGTTCGTAAAAAGTACTCAAAATAAGCAGAAAGTTCTTCCAAAATTAAGGTACACTGAAAAAAAGTCTCTCAACTCCAGATTCAAGACTCTTAAAAAATTTACCGAGAAAAAATACTCTTGATTCAATCGGGTATTACTTGAATCAAATGGAAATCTCCTTAAATTAAGAGACTTGGTTCTCGGTTCAAGCAAAAATCCGCCTACAGCAAGTGTATTTTTTACCGACAAATGCTTTAAGAGTCTGGACTGTGGGTCCGAGAGGCTTTTTTTTTCAGTGTACTCAGAACTCTGAAGGAAGCATATCGTTTTATACCTACGCACTAGGATAATTTCGTTACCAAGTAAAATAAATTTTTAACTTTTTTACCTTCGTATTTGGATTAATCATAAATAACTTTACCTTGGGCAATTTCTGGTGTCCTGAAGGTGTAATTAATATGCAAATATTTGCTTTTGAAATTGCATTTACAACATCCGGCAATTTAACTTCTATACTTGAATGACATCGCGGTAGATTCGTAGTTTTTAACACATCCTCGCCCTCCCGTAAGGCTCGATGACGCTATTTTTATTCGTATATCGCATATATTTAACCCCTACTCTAATACCAATATAAGAATAATCTTACTGGATACCAACAGAGATTCCGTAGACAATAAATATAAGATTAAGATGATGATATTCACATGACACTCAAAATGAGCCTGAAATGTAGATGAAATTATCTTATGGAAACAATATCTTTGGCGAATAACTAGATATACAGGGTGTCTCACGAAAAAGGAGCCACCTTGAATATCTGGCGAACGGGTTGGAATTTCGAAAAACGGTAAAAGACGTGTTCGTTTATATCGAGGGGGACACCTTTTGGCGTATTTGACATTTTCTCAAACCGCGGGGGGGGCGCGGGGCGGGGGGTGCCCCCCCCCGTAAATCGAAATTTTCAAATGGCACCCCTACTTTTTTATTTCAGAAATCAATTCTACGCAAAAAAACAAGCCACCCTATCCAAACCGGATGTAAATCGGACAATTTTTCAGCGATTGGCAGAGGTTCAAACATTTTTTTCATGCTCTTTTCAAAAATTCCCTACGCTCAATGGAATTGCCGTATCAAACCAAACTCTCCGCCAAAAAAATTCTTAAACATTGCACTTTCAATTAAAAATAAGAAAAAGAAAGGATAAACCCCCAAAAAACCAAAAAAAAA